TTTACTGTCATTTTTTCCACCCTTTCCAGTTCAACTGTGAACTTGGATTTATTCACCTTTGCAATTTGGAGACCAGATTTAATCAGCTATTGTAGATTTTGGTGTAACAGAAAACTCTAGAGATTAAGATGAATATGTTCAGGCTATAATAAATGTAAGAAGTAATTTGTTTCAGTTCCTTATAGGATTATCAGTCCTTAGAATCTTGTTATTGGATGATCCCCCACTTTCCCCCTCTCACTTCAGGGAATTTTTACGGGTGTTGGTAGCTTTTCAGGATGTAGTAGAACTACTTTAGTAGTTCTGCTCTTCAGGCTTAATTTCATAAATAAAAGCCCTTTATCCATTGTGTGGTTAGATATGTTTACCTCTTTTGGGACAGAAGTGTTGGTATATACTATTCTGAAGGAATCAAAAGATTTCACTAAGGATATTCAGAAATTGCCAAGTGTAGTTCTAGGTGACACAACTATGGCATGATTGGAACTATATGCTATTAATATCTTATGGAAAAGTCACCCCATGTATTCAATTCAGCTCCCAACTGAGCAGGAATTACTAAATTATATAATGCATTGGTTAACTCACATTCACCAAATGGCCATTAGTACTGATGGTTAATTTTTGTCCTTCATAAGTCACACGGAGAGGTAAGTGGTGTCATCTTATTATATTACTAGGCACCATTTTTAAGGTGTTTCTCAAACTGTAGTATTCATAAAGAGGAGTCTGAATATGTCCTAAGGCAGGGGTGGGCAAACTGCGGGCTGGATCTGGCCCCTCAGGGCTTTGGATCCGGCCCAGGGCATTGTTCTCCCCCCCCCCCCCATGGCGCCGCGGGCCACACAGCGCTCCCAGAAGCAGCCAGCACCAGGTCCCTGTGGTCCCCGGGGGTGCGGGGGGCATGCATAGGGCGCTATGCGCTGCCCTTGCTTCCAGGCACCACCACCACCCCCCGCAGCTCCCATTGGCTGGGAACAGGTAATCGCAGCCAATGGGAGCTTCAGGGGAGGTACCTGGAGGCGCGGCAAGGGCAGTGTGCGGAGCCCTCTGTCCCCACTCCCCCAGGGGCTGCAGGGACGTGGTGCTAGCTGCTTCCGGGAGCAGCGCGGGGCCAGGGCAGACAGGCAGGCAGGGAGCCTGTCCTGGCCCCGGGGCATGCTGCTGCCACCCCAGAGCCGCTCCAGTTAAGCGGCACTGGGCTGGAGCCTGAACCCCTCCTGCACCCCAACTCCCTGCCCTGAATCCCCTCCCTGCATCCCTGCCCTGAGCCCCCTCCTACACGCTGTACCCCTTCTGCACCCCAACCCCCTGCCCTCAGCCCCTTCCTGCACACCGCACTCCCTCCCACACCCAAACCCCCTGCCACGGCTCTGCATGCAATTTCCCCACCCGTTGTGGCCCTCGGGCCAAAAAGTTTGCCGACCCCTAAAATTTATGTCATCTATTCCAGAATTGCAATTCTCTTTCCAAACTGTGGACAGAAAATGATAGACTGCTTCAATTTCAAATACAAATCATGTTTATAGATGTTTTAAATGGCTGTTTGCTAGAGGAAATTGAACAGATTATGTCTCTTCCCAACAAGTTACTGTGGGTTAGGATCACATGGTCTTAGTGGAAAGTTTTGTTCACAAAAGAACAACAACATTTTTCTTTTTCCTAAGATATACTCACTGTCACAGATAAGCCAGTACTTCACAAGCAGAGTTAAACAGTAGTATTAATCCTCTCTCAGAATCTTTGTCTTCTCCTACTGACCACTTCTTATCGCTGCTTTAAAACAGCTTCTTGAACTTTTGTACCAAAAAAAAAAAATCTTTTCAACTTTCACATTTATACTACTAAGATAAATCTAAGCAAATGTACTGAGGACAGGGAAATAAAGTTCTTCAAAAATTATATTATTTGATTTTAGTGGTGTTAAGCACCTCTGAAAAGCAAGCAGCCCATTTGTCACTGCTATCCCTATCTCCTACTTGAATTAAGGAGTAGGGTCACGTGTTATCCTTACATATCTGTGTCCTTAAAGACTAGGCTATTATCAAAATGTAATATCCTGAAGCAGAAAGACTATCAAAGACCATTTGTGTTTCCAAGGGAGAGCTTCTAGACTGTGTTGAAAGCCTCAGAAAAGTAAATCTGAATTTCATTATTATGAGCAGGTTTCCTTTATTAGTATTGAGAAATTTTATAAGTCCATGTTATGTATAATCCAAAGCTAGGGAATTTTATACAAGTTTTGTTGATGGTGGTTGCAAGTGAATAGTAAGAACCATGCTTCCTACAAAAATTCCAGAAATGCAGGAAACTCTTAATTAAAAGTGAAGCTCTAACCTAACGATCCAGCCTGTTCTACTATAGTGAGAATGGAAGGAAAGAGTTAAAAAATGGAAGGATTCAGACTAAGGTCAGGAAGTCCCAACTGGATTTGCTGCATTAATTTTGAAGATTCTTGTGGGGGTTTTTGTTGGTTAAAAATATTCCTATAACTTATTACAAATGAATTCCCTTATATTTAAGGTAATAGAATATTTCTAAAGGCTTCCAAATAGATCACTAGTACTTTGGGTATATGTTAACTTGGAAGCTTTTCAAATGTCTAATAGCCTGTCATTTAGATTAATATATTTGAATACAGTACAGAAGGATTCGTAAAACTAGACAGAGCCAATTTTAACAGAATACTCTGACAATTTATTGTGTAAAAATAAAAAAAGTTGAAGTCCCACAAATTGCCTGCAAAATTTTATTGGAAGAGACTTAATTTTTCCAATTACGTCTGCTCAAAAATGAATCTAAAGCTGCTACTTCTGTTTTATTTTATGTAGCATATAATTAAAAACAATCTGTATAGATTATTTTCAAATGTTGGTTAAAAGAAAACTCCCTATGATGTTTATCTGAGACTTTATTTTCTAATAATAAAGCCAAATGAATTTTATGGCAGAGTTACAAAGCTTTGGACAGAGCAAATTAATAGACTGAAATAAACTCTGCCAGTGTCAGATGGAAATAATGAGTGTAAAGAATTCAGAAATCATAGTTCACAACCTGACACAAACATGTAGGACATTCATATGATGGAAAATTGGCTATGAAGGAAGTGCTGGTTAAGTAATAGCCTGTACTTTCACCCGAGACTGTTAACCATGGACCTGTGCATAAAAACCTCTTCTTCAATGAATTCTTCATTGTATTGACTATCCTTCCTGTTAACTCAGTATTATTTTTAGAAATTCAGCTCAAATGATTATTGCAACAGTGTGTTGACTAAGTGACTAGCTTGGTTTTAAGTCAATGGAATGGAATGGAGAAGGATGTCGTTTACCTTCCAGTGCAGTTTCACAAAAGGATCTTGAGGTACCAGTTTGAGCACAAGAGGACCTGATAATCAAAAGGGTGACAGTCCTTGATAAAAACGCTTGCAGGAGAGATACCGCAGGCTGAATTCCGTGGTAAACTGAACAGGATATAGTTTTGTGGTTCTGCACTGGAAAAAAAGACCTGCAGTCTTCTCCATGCTTTGATTTGTTTGTAGTCTGTTACATTCACTTTTCTTCTTGTGAGATCTCTTGGATTTATGAAAAGCCACCATTAATTTCCCCAGATATCAATCAAAACTCAGTTCAATTTAGATTAAACAAAAGTAGCATTTATTAGAATTTTTACAGAAAGTGGAATAAGTGAAATAAAATGTATGCAGGTAAGATGGAATCTGTAGTGAGACCGTACAAGCCAGCACAATAAATGTAAGCTGTATAGGGAAGCTATTGCCTCAGAGTGATATTCCATCTTTTAAAATAACATATTCCCATAGAGACATCAGGGCCAAATTCACTGGTGATGTAAATTGTTGCAGTTCCACTGATTTCAATGGAGCTGTGTTCACTGATACCCGAACTTGGCCCTGAGAGTTGTCTACCAAAAAAAAAAAAAAATTCTTCTGCGCTTGTAATTGGTCACATTTATATTAAAGGATAATACAATATTCCTCCTCCTTTCAGTGAAACTTCTCTGGAGAACAGGGACATGCAGAAATTTCTATTTCCTCCTTCTCTGGTATCAGAAACTTAGGTGATAGATTGCGTCAAAGACGACCTCCTAAGGGCACGTCTGTGCTGTCCTGCAGTTTGGACTACCAGGATCTGAATTGCAACATGCACCAAACTGCTGCACTGTAACTCCCCTGGATGGAAGCGGCAGACGTGAACGTGAACTCTGACAGGACTACCTCAGTGTGAACTAGCGACTTTTAAGTTTGCGCCTGAAGTATCCATTCAGGGGAGTTACAGTGCAGCCCTTTTGTACTCACTGCAGTTCATACCTCTGTGATCCAAACTGCACAGCAGTGTAGACATGAGTTCCCTTTTTTACACTGATCAGTGGTCACCTCAGTTGGGATTTTGGTGTATCTAGTATTTTAACAATTACGTTCTTATTCTTTTAGATAAAGTTTTGCTTAATCAACTGGGTATAAGTAGTTCAATTGATTTCCCCCTCTTCTCTCCCCCCCCCCCCAATGTTGCTAATGGCTTCAGTTAACAGCTTCCTGGAAGGGAGTTCTATCACCATTCAGATCAGCAGAACACACATGTAGCTCCTTTGTTCAAGCAAAGCTCATGGGTTGAGACTATATTAGACACCCAGTTAAATGATTCTTAATACAGAACCCAACATTTGCAAACTTGGCTGCCCAAACTTCAGTACCTAATCCATATTTAGTCACCTAAATGAAAACTGGAGATTTTCAGAGATGTTGAGCACTTACAATTCCCACTGAAGACAACAGAACCTGGAGATTGCGCAGCACCTTCAAAAATTAGACCCCTTTTATTTAAGCATCTAAATGGATTTAAGTACATAATTTTAGGCACCTAAGTTGGAAAAGTTTTATCAAGTATTTATTAAATGTGCTTGAGTTTTTCCACAATAAACTTATTTTTAACATCACACGAGGATGTACTGGTTGTGCTAAGAGCTGCTTTCTCTCTTTGCAGGGACCTTTGTCGCCAGAATAAAGCATGTGACTATTACTTCAGCATAGATGCGGATGTTGTGCTGACAAACCCGAAGACTTTAAGACTTCTGATAGAGCAGAACAGGTTCAGTATAACTTTGTCTTACAGACTGAGGATCTTCATTTTTTCTAGTCTGGAAGCGCTCTCCAGGATCCCCTTTTACTTGTCCCTTCTATGGTATTGCATTATTGTAAGAGAAGTTTGGCTCAATTCCCTGTGGAGCTTATCAGCATTCCACTCTACTTGAGGGAGCATCAGGTGATCATGTTACTGCAAACTATGTGGTGCCAATAGACCACTAAGCCATTCCAATGGCAAACATCTTTAACTCTGTAATTAATCTTGGCTGCTTGTTTGCCAAAAAAACCTGCTTTAATGGAATGCTGAGTTCTGTGGGGAAAAATAATGAGACCTAATTATTTGGTTAATGGAAACACTTTCTCACTTGAAAATGTTAAAGTGAAAAAGGTAGGTGAACTGAGTATGCTCACTGGATTGGGCCCTGCAGGCCAGTTAGGTGGAGGAATCACTCTGGGGCTTAGGCATCTGCATGCCCAGAGTGAGGATGCAGTGTGCATGTGCAGAGGCAGAAACATAAGCACCTAGGGAACTTTTACTACAAAAAGGTAGGTGTCAAGCAAGTTTTGGCACCTACAGGGTTCAGCAGCAACTAGATGGGGGTTTTGTGAATCCCAATGGGGCCTGATTCTGAAATTTAGGCAACTAAAGGGGAAGCTAGGCACCTAAGTCCTCTTGTGAATCTAGCTCATGTTGACCAGGAAGATGTACTGATTATCACTCTTTATAGTAAGCATGGGAGTTAACCATTCACAAAATCTATTGCATAGAAGAATATGCTCAAACAGCAGTTCCCAGTCTGAACATCCAAGAATCTAAATCATTCTGAAAACAGCTGTGTGATGTCATTGCTTTCTGTTAAATGAAGCAGGATTTCCAAGACTGACTGATCAGAAATTGTACAATTCAGGCATAAAAAAAGCCCACTTGTTTCAGTCTTAGTATTTGGAGTTTTAAAAAAAGAGATTTATTCTTGGAGATAGAACATCGTTGTTTTTGCTCTTACAAGCTGTTTCTCATTGTTAAATAATTTCACAAGATACAAGACAAACTAAACGTTGACATCCAATACGAATACAAATAATATTTGTTAGCTTTTCACAATTTCCAGAAAAGATCCAATATTGACTACTATTCGCGGCTCATATTGGGTTTTTTCCTGCTTTAGGGCCAAATCTTGCTTGCTTTACTCATGAAAATCCGTGAATTCCCATGTGAGTAAAGTACACCGGATTTGGCCGTGAGTGGTAATGCCAGGCTTTTCAGGTGGGTCAGACAAAGAGGCAGAGTATTAATTTCATCACCATATGTTGGAAACTTGCATTTACCTAATGATGAGGACTGAGTTGTAGATAAAGGCGTAGCTGGCTTGTCGTTTTGATTATATTATTTCTTCGCTGAAATTGGTTGCTTTTGTAAAAGAGAAGTTTAGGACCCAGTATAGTGCAGACAGAAGTAGCATAAGCTTCACAAAACAGGCCTACGGGGGGGACAGCACTTATAAAAGAAGTTCCATTATTTTGCTTCCATTTCTAGTCACCTCACATTTCCCTTCTCACCTGTTTTCAATGTCTGCTGAGTTATTTTTCCATTTGGAATAATTTCCGTAATCAAAGTCCTCTACTTTTTTTTTTGCTTTTTCATTTTTTGTTTTTGTTGCCTCTGCAAAAAAATCCTTAGCTAAGCTTTTGTTAAAGGCTGCCCACTTGTGCTCATTCTGTCTGCAGAAAGAGGACAAGAGTATTTTCCTCTGCCTGAAAACTCCATGATTTATAGCGATGCTGGGCATGGCAGCTGAATTCCTGTCTGTTGCTCTCACCTTTGGGTGGCTGGAAGTTTGGAAACTAGCAGTTAATGGAAAATATTTCCCTTCAACTCAAGTGTAGAATGGCTGCTTCTAGATTTGATGGTCCTTCAATTCTGGTGCTCTGTCAAAAAGTGCAGAAGTGAGAGGCACCTTCGATACACTGCAGATGTTCACAGGCAGCCATTACAACTATTTTAATAAAAAGAAAAGGAGTACTTGTGGCACCTTAGAGACTAACCAATTTATTTGAGCATGAGCTTTCGTGAGCTACAGCTCACTTCATCAGAAGTTTACCGTGGAAACTGCAGCAGACTTTATATACACACAGAGAATATGAAACAATACCTCCTCCCACCCCACTGTCCTGCTGGTAATAGCTTATCTAAAGTGATCAACAGGTGGGCCATTTCCAGCACAAATCCAGGTTTTCTCACCCTCCACCCCCCCACACAAATTCAGTCTCCTGCTGGTGCTAGCCCATCCAAAGTGACAACTCTTTACATAATCAAGTCGGGCTATTTCCTGCATAGATCAAGGTTTTCTCACATCCCCCCCACCCCCATACACACACAAACTCTCTCTCCTGCTGGTAATAGCTCATCTAAACTGACCACTCTTCAGGTTTAAATCCAAGTTAAACCAGAACATCTGGGGGGGGGGGGGTAGGAAAAAACAAGAGGAAACAGGCTACCTTGCATAATGACTTAGCCACTCCCAGTCTCTATTTAAGCCTAAATTAATAGTATCCAATTTGCAAATGAATTCCAATTCAGCAGTTTCTTGCTGGAGTCTGGATTTGAAGTTTTTTTGTTTTAAGATAGATGAAGATGTCATCAATATAGCGCAAGTAGAGTAGGGGCTTAAGGGGACGAGAGCTGAGGAAGCGTTGTTCTAAATCAGCCATAAAAATGTTGGCATACTGTGGGGCCATGCGGGTACCCATAGCAGTGCCGCTGATCTGAAGGTATACATTGTCCCCAAATGTGAAATAGTTATGGGTAAGGACAAAGTCACAAAGTTCAGCCACCAGGTTAGCCGTGACATTATCGGGGATAGTGTTCTTGACGGCTTGTAGTCCATCTTTGTGTGGAATGTTGGTGTAGAGGGCTTCTACATCCATAGTAGCCAGGATGGTGTTATCAGGAAGATCACCGATGGATTGAAGTTTCCTCAGGAAGTCAGTGGTGTCTCGAAGGTAGCTGGGAGTGCTGGTAGCGTAGGGCCTGAGGAGGGAGTCTACCTGTCATTATGCAAGGCACTGCATTTAGCCGTATGGAGTGGAAATCTATCAACTGCATGAAGAAACTTGTACAGATACAGACAGACATCATCTTCCTTTCCAAATGCAAACAGATGGACATCGTACCAAAAGGACTGAAGGTCAAAAATCCATTACAATCTACATACCACACAGACTATGCTGACAGCTTGTGCCTCACGCTCTCAAAGAAACTGCGGAATCACCTGATCAAGATCCTCTACAGCAAACAGGGAAAGATTAAGAATGAGCTCTCAAAAATGGATACTCTCATAAAGAACCAACCTTCCACACAAACTTCCTCGTGGCTGGATTTTACTAAAACTAGACAAGCCATTTACAACGCACACTTTGCTTCTCTACAAAAGAAAAAAGACACTAAACTTTCTAAACTACTACATGCTACAAGGGGCCACAGCAATGGTTCCCTCACCCCACCTAGCAATATTGTTAACCTATCCAACTATACTCTCAGCCCAGCAGAAGCAGCTGTTCTATCTCGGGGCCTCTCCTTCTGCCCCTCCACCCCCACGAACATGATACAGTTCTGTGGTGACCTAGAATCCTATTTTCGATGTCTCCGTCTCAAGGAATATTTCCAAAATACCTCTGAACAACATACTAATCCACAGAGGTCTCCCTGCCAACACTACAGAAAGAGGGATTCTAGATGGACTCCTCCTGAAGGTCGAAACAGCAGACTGGACTTCTACATAGAGTGCTTCCGCCGACGTGCACGGGCTGAAATTGTGGAAAAGCAGCATCACTTGCCCCATAACCTCAGCCATGCAGAACACAATGCCATCCACAGCCTCAGAAACAACTCTGACATCATAATCAAAAAGGCTGACAAAGGAGGTGCTGTTATCATCATGAATAGGTCGGAATATGAACAAGAGGCTGCTCAGCAGCTCTCCAACACGAGTTTCTACAAGCCATTACCCTATGATCCCACTGAGAGTTATCAAAAGCAACTACAGCATTTGCTCAAGAAACTTCCTGAAAAAGCACAAGATCAAATCCGCACAGACACACCCCTGGAACCCCGACCTGGGATATTCTATCTACTACCCAAGATCCATAAACCTGGAAATCCTGGGCGCCCCATCATCTCAGGCATTGGCACCCTGACAGCAGGATTGTCTGGCTATGTAGACTCCCTCCTCAGGCCCTACGCTACCAGCACTCCCAGCTACCTTCGAGACACCACTGACTTCCTGAGGAAACTTCAATCCATCGGTGATCTTCCTGATAACACCATCCTGGCTACTATGGATGTAGAAGCCCTCTACACCAACATTCCACACAAAGATGGACTACAAGCCGTCAAGAACACTATCCCCGATAATGTCACGGCTAACCTGGTGGCTGAACTTTGTGACTTTGTCCTTACCCATAACTATTTCACATTTGGGGACAATGTATACCTTCAGATCAGCGGCACTGCTATGGGTACCCGCATGGCCCCACAGTATGCCAACATTTTTATGGCTGATTTAGAACAACGCTTCCTCAGCTCTCGTCCCCTTAAGCCCCTACTCTACTTGCGCTATATTGATGACATCTTCATCATCTGGACCCATGGAAAAGAAGCCCTTGAGGAATTCCACCATGATTTCAACAATTTCCATCCCACCACCAACCTCAGCCTGGTCCAGTCCACACAAGAGATCCACTTCCTGGACACTACAGTGCTAATTAACAATGGCCACATAAACACCACCCTATACCGGAAACCTACTGACCGCTATTCCTACCTGCATGCCTCCAGCTTTCACCCTGACCACACCACACGATCCATCGTCTACAGCCAAGCTCTGCGATACAACCGCATTTGCTCCAACCCCTCAGACAGAGACAAACACCTACAAGATCTCTGTCAAGCTTTCTTACAACTACAGTACCCACCTGCAGAAGTAAAGAAACAGATTGATAGAGCCAGAAGAGTTCCCAGAAGTTACCTACTACAGGACAGGCCTAACAAAGAAAATAACAGAACGCCACTAGCGGTCACCTTCAGCCCCCAACTAAAACCCCTCTAACGCATTATTAAGGATCTACAACCTATCCTAAAGGATGACCCAACACTCACAAGTCTTGGGAGACAGGCCAGTCCTTGCCTACAGACAGCCCCGCAACCTGAAGCAAATACTCACCAACAACCACATACCACACAACAGAACCACTAACCCAGGAACTTATCCTTGCAACAAAGCCCGTTGCCAATTGTGCCCACATATCTATTCAGGGGACACCATCACAGGGCCTAATAATATCAGCCACACTATCAGAGGCTCGTTCACCTGCACATCCACCAATGTGATATATGCCATCATGTGCCAGCAATGCCCCTCTGCCATGTACATTGGTCAAACTGGACAGTCTCTACGTAAAAGAATAAATGGACACAAATCAGATGTCAAGAATTATAACATTCATAAACCAGTCGGAGAACATTTCAATCTCTCTGGTCACGCAATCACAGACATGAAGGTCGCTATCTTAAAACAAAAAAACTTCAAATCCAGACTCCAGCAAGAAACTGCTGAATTGGAATTCATTTGCAAATTGGATACTATTAATTTAGGCTTAAATAGAGACTGGGAGTGGCTAAGTCATTATGCAAGGTAGCCTGTTTCCTCTTGTTTTTTTCCTACCCCCCCCCCCCCCAGATGTTCTGGTTTAACTTGGATTTAAACTTGGAGAGTGGTCAGTTTAGATGAGCTATTACCAGCAGGAGAGTGAGTTTGTGTGTGTATGGGGGTGGGGGGGATGTGAGAAAACCTGGATCTATGCAGGAAATAGCCCGACTTGATTATGTAAAGAGTTGTCACTTTGGATGGGCTAGCACCAGCAGGAGAGTGAATTTGTGTGGGGGGGTGGAGGGTGAGAAAACCTGGATTTGTGCTGGAAATGGCCCACCTGTTGATCACTTTAGATAAGCTATTACCAGCAGGACAGTGGGGTGGGAGGAGGTATTGTTTCATATTCTCTGTGTGTATATAAAGTCTGCTGCAGTTTCCACGGTAAACATCTGATGAAGTGAGCTGTAGCTCACGAAAGCTCATGCTCAAATAAATTGGTTAGTCTCTAAGGTGCCACAAGTACTCCTTTTCTTTTTGCGAATACAGACTAACACGGCTGTTCCTCTGAAAACTATTTTAATGCTAGCAGAATCAAAGTTCATGTTTTATTTTCTTATGGAATATTTTGTTTTTACAGGAAGATAATTGCTCCACTTGTAACTCGCCATGGGAAGCTATGGTCCAACTTTTGGGGTGCTTTGAGCCCTGATGGCTATTATGCTCGCTCAGAAGATTATGTGGATATTGTCCAAGGGAACAGAGTGTAAGTTAACTTAAACTAATCACTAACACCAGATATCATTGGACAGTAGTTAGTGACATATTCTTTCCTTGCCCAGCAAATACCAATATTTTTCATGTAAAGAGAGAGAGAATTTCTGAACCGTTAATGTCAGTTACGTTCATGAATTTCTTCAATAATCCAGGATTACTTTCTGTTTCTGCAACCTGGAATAGAAAGGCACAGTGCCCAGCACAATGAGGTCCTAGGTACTATCCCAACACACACAATTAATAAGTGATGGTCATCAGTACTGAATATGATTATGCTATGAAAATGAACTGTAATTAATTGCAAAAATTGAAGAAGTTATACTGTGAATTTATGCCAAAAAATAATCTAGTGACACTTCATCAAATGTGTAACAAGTAAAGTGTTTCCTCATCTCTTCTGGACAAGCACAATATTTAATCAGCAGCTGAAATTAAAATTAATAACCATTTTTGATACAGCAGTATTTGTTCCATTATATGCTGTCTACTTTCCATCCTTATAACAGCCCAGAAATGTTAGACTAAAGTCAAAGCAGATGAGAAATACTTTCATTTCACAAACAGTAACTTTTCCCCAAAATGAACATACTTTAAACTACCTGAGGCCTGATTCTCATATGTGCCAATGGCCCTTTACTTGACCCTGGCAATTCGAAAAGGTCTTATTGGGCTGATACTCCTTTACAGATATGTACTGGTTTTATAGATCTGCCTCTGGGAAACAGAAAACTTGTAGAGCAGTGCATTGTCCTATGGACATGCCTATTTGTTGATATTGGCTCAACTGAATTAAATTTATGGCCTGTTGCATTCACCGGGTATCAGTGTAAAGAAGTCAGACGGTCTACGAGAAGCTACGGTTGGGTGTTTAAACGAACATAAAATCTGTTTAATAGTTTTCTCCATCCCACTGAGTAACTTAATGCTATAATATAAAGGAATTTAATTGATAGCCTTGACCTAGTCTGAAAAGGGACGTGTTTATATATTTAAAACCCACTTTGAGGAATTTGGTAGAATTACTTTCTTCGTGATAAAAGCTCATAAAATTTGAATTGCTGCTTATGCTCCCTTCAAGTCCAGCTGTAGCTTTTCAGATATCTTGGGAACCTTACATCATTGCCTTGAACTTTGCCTGGTCTTTTCAGTAAATAATAAAATCCTGATGTTCAAATTGTAAAATGTACAATACATTCCAGTTTTCATAGTCTTAAACCTTTTCCCCTGGACTTCTTTTACAGAGGAGTCTGGAATATCCCTTATATGGCTAATATATACTTAATTAAAGGACAGACTCTCAGATCAGAGATGAGAGAGAGAAACTATTTTGTTCGTGATAAGTTGGATCCTGATATGGCACTCTGCAGGAATGCCAGGGAAATGGTAAGGTGGATGGATGGTTTGCTTTTAAATAGTACATGCAGTTGTTTTTTTTTAACGTGCTTGCTACAGGTGTATGTATGTAATCTTGAATTGTGTTCACTTCTTTCTAATTACAAGTACTAGCCAATTTTTTGTGGGATACTGGCATTTGTGGTGGTTTTTTTTTTTTTAATAATTGAAAAGAATACAGTGGAAGCATTTGGCTTTGATCAAGACCAGTGGACTGGTGCACTGACAGCATATTTATTTCTATTTAAATACAGTTAAAATTCATAGGTACTATAAATTACCTTACTTGTTGGCACAATTGTATAACATGAAGGCGGACTCAGTGGCCACCTTGTTAATATATCAGCTATCATTGAGTATCTCCATTTGTCTTGAAATGTCTTAGTTAATCTGCACAATTTGGAACTTATAACAAGTTAGGTGGAACACTTTGTTTTATGTTTAAATGAGAATACTTAAAGTTAATGATTGAAGCTGGCAATATACAAATCTTATTTTAAGCCATTTTCAGAATGATGATACCCTTATTAAAGGTGTTATACTATTTAGTGTTGCTTGTATTATGCTGTCAGTAATATGAAGATTGATTTATATTAGGAGTATAAATATGCAAAACCATATTTGTACTGATATTTACACTAGTTTCAGAACAGAAACAAATAAGAGGTAAACCACAGCTAGTTCCAGACAGTATAGCATTGAAAAATAACTTGCTGAATTGAACAAGAAAAGTTGGCAAGTATAATTTTTTTATTCCCTCCATAACAAGGCATGATTTCATTTGTTTGTACTCATTCTACAGAACAACCCAATCAACATACTCTTGTTTTCAACCTTCTAAGCAGCAGTTATTGCACTTTGTGCTTACCATGTGCTCCTGTTAAACTAATCTGACTCTGTGGCTCGTCAGAGAATTGCCTTCTCTCTTTCTCTTTCTCAACCTGTGCTATGAGACCGTCTGGTACGTGCTTGTTTTTGTATTGCAGCAGATAAGGGGCTGGTGGATACAGCTTTAACATGTACATAGGAGCTTTGCTTGGAGATGCATGCTGCCCGTAAAAGCTATTTTGGAATATCAGCTTTTGATCGAAGGCTGTTATTTACCTAATGTAACTGTGGAACCCTAAAACCTAATACATCTCTGACAAAGAGAGAGAGACCACATATCGGTCAACTGATGTGATGCTTCTCCTTCATTTTAGAGTTTACAAAGGGAAAAAGGCTCCCCTTCTTCGGAAACATTCCATATGCTCAGACCCCCAAAGGTGTTGCTTTTTTTTATTCATTAGTTGTTACTATTATGCAGTATCATTCTACCACAGGAAAACCCTTCCCCTCTCTCCACTTACCTTAGTAAAAGTTGCTATACCTTTCTCTTTAGTCTTAAGTTACATTTTCAAACGTGACTGGTGATATGGGGTGCCTAATCAAAACATCTTAAAACTTGATTTTTCATGGTGAGAGCTCTTAATGCTCTGAAAATCAGGCTCCTTTTAAGATGTCTGAATCTGGGCACCTGGAAATCAAGATAACCAATGTCACTAGTCATTTTTTGAGGATTTAGGCCATTACAGCTTAATTATTGGCATTATTAGTACAATGAAACTGGTTAAACGATTCAAAACCTCTCTGAATATTACCCAAAATCACAAAAAAAGACAAAGTGCAAAGTTTCTCTGACCTGTCTAGCCTGTCTTATTTGTAAAGTCTTTGTTCAGTTTTGCTACAGCTTGTGTTTGTGCAGCCATTGGGCAAAATTCTGCAGTGCTTACTCCCATGAATAGTCCTATTGCTAGACCTATTGAAGAACTGGTCTCAGTGTGTCCATTACTTCAATGTCATGTTTCGGGAAAAGAAAGCAAGCACTAATGGTGTGTTACAACCACATGGGTGGTGGACACACTTAAAAAGTTGCTTCTGGTCCTAGAGATACTAGCAGTATTTCCTCATTTCAAGAATACAAAATCGTTCTAAAGCCAGAATAAACTTAAGGTTACCTTCTCAAAGGGCTTGATTGACATTTTTGTTTCTCCATATTTATTACGATGTAACTCTATTGAAATCAGAGTTGCACTGAATAAAACTGGAGCAACAACGTGGTGAATCAGGCCCAGGGTATCCTGTATAGGAAAGCTTTTTGTGATAAGCATTGGGTAGCCACTTTTGCCAGACCCTCCTTATTTTCCTTGCTGTAGCTATTTAATGTGTTGATAAGAGCCAAGAACTGAGTACACGTTTAACACGTTTTATCATGCTGGCAATTTAACACTTTTTCAGACCTAAAACTGAGGTCCAGATACAAGCAAACAAGTGGGAATGGCTCTGTGTTGTGCAAATCTAAAATGGAGAAAACTTTCTAAAATGGGGTTGGGTCTGAAAAACAGTTAAACTAAAAGAAACCCCTATTTCTTTTAAACAAAAATATTTTCTGCTACTAATTCTAATCAAGGGAGCCCTGTTGATATCCTAGCTTTTATTTATGAACCAGTGTAGCAGCACATTTAATTGTTGGTCTTTATATCACTGATATATTCTTTATTCCTCATCATAATTCTAACATGCATTGTATTTTCAGATATTTTTTTTCAGGACAATTCACCAAAAGGATTACTTAATAATAAATGTTCTGAAGCAGCGCAGAACTTGCGTGTTTGGTGTTCTGACAGTACTTAAACCTTTTTTCTAATTGTTCGCTTTTTTCAGATAAAATCCCCAGCCCCAGACTTTGTCAGTTTAATTTGTGTGAGAGTTCTGTTTGAAAACCGGTATTTCAGGAGGGTTGAACATTTTAATATATGGTCTTTCTAGGCTTACTGAAGAAAAAAACAAAGGATATTAAATTTGTTTTTCTTTTCCAATTGCATATTTGCACTATTACAAAACATTTTGTTGCCTTAATTTGATTAGAAAACAAATGATACCAAATGTGTCTTTTTTAATGTGGATCATAGTAAAAATACATGTTCAGGAATCAGTAATACAGGCTGTGATCAGAAATAGTCATGTGAAAGTTTAAAGATTTCCTTAAAAAACAAACCCAGAGGTAGTTAAAACATGTGTATGAGAGAGACATAAATATATAGGTAAAATATAAATTATATATACCATATTTTAGCTACATGTCTGTGTTTTGGGGATATATATATAAAATTTTAAAAGCCGAATATCATTCTTACTGTTACACAGTGTTGCTAACATCATTTTTCTTCTTTGTTTGATACAGGGTGTCTTTATGTACATTACCAACAGACATGAATTTGGGAGACTTATTTCAACTGCCAACTACAATACCTCCCACTACAACAATGATCTCTGGCAGATTTTTGAAAATCCTGTGGTATATATCACATTATGCATAAAACTGTTAATAGGTTTTAGAAATCATTATATGACCATATGGAAAATTATAACTTTTTGTGGTTACTATATATTGGCAAATATTACTGAGAGGCACACACATAATAATAAATTCAGTATCCGCATATCATATAAAATATATGACTCATAATCTGGAAAAAGAAATGCATGCCTGAGTCAAAAATGGACCCATATATCCCAAAATGTTTCCTGAGATAATAGAATCAAGAGTTAATTTACAGATAGAATAACATCTTTAATTGTTTCTAATGATTTGAATGGAAGAAATCAAAGGAATTTGCAGAGTAGTAAAATTCATTTTTAATTTCTATATTTTTGGTTGTACATTTTAAAAAAGGAAATAAGTGAGCTGTTTAATCTGTTCAAATCATTCTTTTCAGGACTGGAAGGAAACCTATATAAATCCCAACTACTCAAAGATCTTCACTGAAAATCTAGTGGAACAGGTTAGTATTAATACTATTAAAATGAGAGAGACAAAAAATTATCTAAGTTTTGGTTCAATGAACTGGCATAGAATAAATGCTTTGACTGTCGTATCACATTGAGCTGTGATCTTGTTAGATCGCAGCAGGTATATGCACCTAAAACAAAATGGAAGTTCGTACCTCACAAAATTAGAGATTTTGAGGAATGGCCACAGAACTGAATTTTGCATTGTGGAACTTTCTCTGCTGCTAAGCTTCACACGGTTCATCCTTTTCAGTAGTTGGATGGGAGGTGTCCAAGGAAAACTGAGGCGCAGCAAGAAGTGGTGGCCAGAATTTGTTAGGTAGGAGGCACTCCTTCCTCTGAGTGGCTACTGAGTCAGTACCCCATGTGATGCTAAGTTCTGTTGGAAGGACTCTTTTCTGAGTGAGACTTACAGCTGATGTGAAGAGTACTTGAGATCAAAAGAGATCCCCATGGAACTTGCTGCAAGAGGAAGTGTGTCAATCCCAACGTTCTGGTGAAATTTCACTTTCTGTTCCACCCCTTTATTTAAATTCCCCCAGTTGTTTCAATTGGAAAATGTATTCTTTAGTCCCTTCTTTGTAACAAATAGATCCCACTGTGCAGTGATTTTAGTGCCAAATGCTAAGCATTTGCACCTCAGAATTGTTTGATCCTTGTATTTAGTCTGCTTAAAAAAACAAAACAGAAACCCTGTCGATTCCTTGGCTGTTTCACATGCACTTGTAGTGACCTTAGACAAATTATTTTAAAATAAAGATCACTTTACCAGACAACAGTGAAAATGTCCAAGTAGCATGGATGATGGCAGAACTGATTATAATGTAAACTTTCAGTCTTTTATTCCCGAGAAGTTGACACTAATCACTAGGTTGGTGCTGGAGATGAAACCCTGGCCCTATTGATGTCAATAGAAAAATTCCCACTAATTTCAGTGAGGCCAGGATTTTACCATCGAAGTTGATAATGGGCAATGTTTGGGTTGATTTTCAGCATTGCAGATGTTTGGCACGTGGAGTTTCTATTTAATGACGATGTGTCGGAGGGTTTTTATGAGTGCATGGGTAGCTAGGGCGGGCTTTCAGCATTGGCCTAGCTCTAGACTAATTGAAGTCAGTGGGAGTTAGTGCTGAGTGCTTTTGACAAGTCCACCCTCAGTATACACTTGCAAACTGTAAAGAGCTAGGGATGCTTAAGGGGGGGGGGGGGAAAGAGTGGTCCAGAATGATGGGAAAATGAATATGGACATTTATGCCAAACCAAACTTGAATACATACTGTCAAGTTGGCAGACTTCAGACTAGACCTAACTAAAATGTAATTTATCAGGCAGTCCTAAAATCCATGCTGATGAGCTGGGGAGTCCAAATAAAACAAACTAAGGAAGATGGGATTGATTGACGTGGCAATTCAAGCATGCAAACTTCCACCATATCTTCTCATTTGTCGTCAAGCCACTGTCAGCATAGCTTGAAATTCAGAACACCAGCAAGAGCGGTTGGGAATTGAAGACAACTGCTGTGTTGTTTTGTAGAATAGGAATATATATTTATAAACTTGAAGAAGTGGAGCCGGATACATACGTGTGTGTGTGTGTGTGTGAGAGAGAGATTTAGTGCTCTTTACCCAACAGTGTTAAGTGGAGGGAGTGCGAGCATACAATGCAGGACTTTATCATTGAACATGGGACTGGGAGTAGGTGGGTTTAGGGTTAACTTTTGGGTAAAAATTTATCCCTGTTAAATTGCTTTGTCCTAGTCCCTACTAAATGAAAGGTCCTAGTCCCTACTAAATGAAACTGGACACTGGTTAACATCCCAGCAGGTGGAACTAAGAAAAATCCACACATTTTGAGACCTGTGTCCTAAAAGAGCATTTGTTTTGCCAGAGCACTCCATTGCACTTCCCTGTCTGTAAAACTTCTCGCTGCTCCTGATTCGGTCATCCTTATATGTGCTGAGTATTGCCTTACTCTGTGAGTAGTTCCACTGTAATCAACAGGAGTACTTCGGGAGCAAGGTACTGCTTAGTGTGAGTGCGAGTGGGCAGAATCCAGCCCTGAGTAATCACCCCAAAAAAGTATGATGGACAAAATTGTAAAAAGGAGAATGTGTAGTGGGTAGCTGGCCAAGGTCAATAATGATGTGCTGAGAGACCAGGGCAAAATAATCTTCCTCTCATGTCTTCTTCACATTAGTGCGTGACTGTCTCTGAGCCCTCTAAAGGGCAGCAGTGGAAGGGAGAAGTTTTACCACGAATATCTAAGAGAAATCAAACTAAAGTAACTAAAATTCCCTATCTTACAAACCTTTAGTTGGTCTAGATAATAGGAACTCCCAAAGCAATGCTCATTGCAGATACCATATATTAGGGTGGGTACTTGGCATCAGAGGAGAGACCCCTTAAAATATCCCTGATTCACACATGGTAGGGGTCTACTTCAGACCGCCTAACTAAGAAGAAGAGGTGGATGAGGCTTTTTATAAACAACTAACAAAATCATCCAAAGCACAGGACTTAGTGGCGATGGGGGGGACTTCAACTACCCAAATGTCTCTTGGAGAAATAACACAGCAGGGCATGGATTATCCAACAAGTTCTTATTTTAGAAGGTGGAGAAAGCCACTAGGGGAGAGGCTGTTCTAGATTTGATTTTGACAAATAGAGAGGAACTCGTTAAGAATTTGAAAGTGGAAGGCATCTTGGATGAAAGTGATCATGAAATGATAGAGTTCATGATTCTAAGGAATGGTAGGAGGGAACACAACACAAAGATAATGGATTGCAAGAAGGCAGACTTTAGCAAACTCAGGGAGCTGGTAGGTAAGATCCCATAGGAAGCAAGTCTAAAGGAAAAATAGTTCGAGAGCTGGCAGTTTTTCAAAGCGATATTATTAAGGGCACAAGAGCAAACTATCCCACTGTGCAGGAAAGATAGGAAGTATGGTAAGAGACCACTCTGACTTCAATGATCTGAAACAAAAAAGAGTCCTACAAAAAAGTGGAAACTAGGTCATATTACAAAGGATGAATATAAACAAATAACACAAGCATGTGGGGACAAAATTAGAAAGCCCTAGGCACAAAATGAGACTAAACTAGCTAGAGACCTAAAGAGTCACCAGAAAGCATTCTACAAATACATTAGAAGCAGAGGAAGACCAAGGACAGGGTAGGCCTATTACTCAATGCGGAAATGGCAGATGGACTAAATGACTTTTTTTGTTTCAGTTTTCACAAAACTGTTTAGTAGCGATTGGACATCTAACATAGTGAATGCCAGTGAAAATGTGGTAGGATCAGAGGCTGAAATAGGGAAAGAACAAATTAAAAATTACGTAGACAAGTTAGATGGCTTCAAGTCACCAGGGCCTGATGAAATACATCCTAGAATACTTGAGATCATTGAGAAGATATCTGAGCCATTAGCAGTTATCTTCGAAAAGTCATGGAAGATGGGAGAGATTCCAGAGGACTGGAAAAGGGGGCAAATATAGTGCCAATCTATAAAAGGGAAATCAGGACAACCCGTGGAATTACAGACCAGTCAGCTTAACTTCAGTGTCTGGGAAGATAATGGAGCAAATAATTAAGCAATCAATTTGCGCACACCCAGAATATAATAAGCTGGTAAATTACAGTCAGCATGGATTTGTCAAGAACAAATCATGTCAAGCTAACATAATAGCTTTCTTTGACAGGGTAAAAGGCCTTCTGAATAGAGGGAAGCAGTAATGTGGTATATTTTGACTTTAGAAAGGCTTTTGATACCGTCTTGCATGATCTTCTCCTAAACAAACTAGGCAAATACAACCCAGATGGAGCTACTATAAGGTGGGTGCAAAACTGCTTGGAAAACCGTTCTCAGAGAGTAGTTATCAGTGGTGCACAGTCAAGCTGGAAAGGCATGTCAAGTGGGGTCCCGCAGAGATCAGTTGTTGGTCTTGTTCAGTTCAATATCTTTATCAGTGATTTAGATAATGGCATAGAGAGTACACTTATAAAATTTGCAGATGATACCAAGCTGGGAAGGGTTGCAAGTACTTTGGAGGACAAGTTTAAAATTCAAAATCATCTGGACAAATTGGAGAAATGGTCTGAAGTAAGTAGGAGGAAATTCAATAAGGACAAATACAAAGTAGCTCCACTTAGGAAGGAACAATCAATTGCATACACATAAAACAGGAAATGACTGCCTAGAAAGGAGTACTGTGGAAAAGGATCTAGGGGGTCATAGTAGATCACAGGCTAAATGAGTCAACAGTGTAACACTGTTGTCCCCCCCTCCCCCCCCCCCAAAAAAAAAAAAAAGCAAACATCATTGTGGGATGTATCCTCAGGAGTGTTGTAGGCAAGACACACACAGTCATTTTTCTGCTCTACGCTGTGCTGATTAGGCCTGAACTGGAGTATTGTGTCGAGTTCTGGGTGCCACGTTTCAGGAAAGATGTGGACAAACTGGAGAAAGTCCAGAGAAGTGCAACAAAAATGATTAAAAGGTCTAGAAAACATGACCTATGAGGGAAGATTGGAAAAAAAATGGGTTTGTTTAGTCTGGAGAAGAGAAGACTCAGAGGGGGACATAACAGTTTTCAAGTACATAAAAGGTTATAAGGAAGAGGGAGAAAAATTGTTCTCCTTAACCTCTGAGGATAGGACAAGAAGCAAAGCGCTTAAATTGCAGCAAGGACAATTTAGGTTGAACATTAGGGAAAAACTTCCTGTCAGGATAGTTAAGCAATGGAATAAATTGCCTAGGTAGGTTGTGGAATCTCCATCATTAGAGATTTTTAAGGGCAGGTTAGACAAACGCCTGTCAGGGATGGTCTATAATACTTAGTCCTGCCTTGAGTGCAGGAGACTGGACTAGAAGACCTCTTGAGGTCCCTTCCAGTCCTACGATTCTATGCAGGTTTTGCCTTCCAAAGATAATTTCTTCAAAGATCTGCATGTTTTAGATGACGACAATCCTAGATCTTATAGATGAATTTTTTTTCTCCTGTATTTCTAAAAATGCTTTATGAATGAAGGTGAGCTTAAAGTAATTGTAACTCATTTTTTCCCAGCAGGAACACAAGCTAAACACAATACATAACCCTTTAGAGTGAAACGAAGACACAATGTATTTCACTGGTTGTTAGTTTTTGCCACCTTCAGTGAAAATGCAGCTACAAATCAGGAATTTCTTCATTACTTTAATATATCTGAATTCTGACTTAGTGGAAATAGTGGCACTATTTTATTGATCTACCTAGCTCTTTTTTAAAAACTGTTTAAAAATTACTGGAGTAATAAATATGACTTCTAAAACAATGCTGTGGGTTTTTTTTATAGCCATGCCCAGATGTGTATTGGTTTCCCATATTTTCGGAGACTGCCTGTGATGAACTGGTAGAGGAAATGGAACATTATGGACAGTGGTCTGGAGGAAAACATCGTGTAAGTGTCACCTCTTGTAAACAAAACTAGTACTTGTTTTCTAGCAGGTCTTCATGTACTTTAATGTTTTAAATAAATGCTTCATTAGAAAGTGCACTGGGTGGTGTAGTCTGCAACTACTGAAAACTTAGTTAAACATGATACTTTTATTGCCTTTGTTTTATTCTATATGCCTGCAGTTTTCAAATAAATTAAAACCTATATTATATAAGTACTGAAAAAAACCACATTTTTGAGGCCCTTCTGGTTTTTAGGATAGTCGTATATCTGGAGGTTATGAAAATGTCCCAACTGATGATATTCACATGAAGCAAATCGGGCTGGATGGTGAATGGCTACATTTCATTAGAGAGTTCATTGCACCAGTAACACTAAAAGTCTTTGCTGGCTATTATACAAAGGTAAACTTTTAAAATTATTATAGGTGAATAGTTGAGTTGAGTGGTTAATTTGTAGGGAATGATTTATGAGATTAATCCCAGAATCTTCTTGCTCATGAAATATTTTAGAGGAGGCTACACTTTTCTCAGTTTTATTTATTATATATTTAAAAAAATTTGTTACTTTTGTGTGTTGATTGAAAATATTCCAGACTTGAGCTGTGTTGCTTTGTCGTGATGGGTAAGATAAATCCAATGTTGTAACTGTTTCGGACTTGAAGCACGAACATTTGCCAGTGAGTAGCTTTTAAAATTCAGCTCCCACGAATAAGCACGTATTTGATTTCGAAATTCACACACTGATGAGAAATCCTTTTGATTGCTACACATTTATTTCAGGGATATGCCATGCTGAATTTTGTTGTAAAGTACACTACGGACAGACAGCGTTCCCTCAGACCTCATCATGACTCTTCTACGTTTACCATCAACATTGCTCTCAACAAAGGAGGAGAAGATTTTCAGGTAAGCAATAGTCATTTCACTAAATATTGCTGCTCTTCAATTTATCTAAATCATTTCCATGCTTGGGTCCAAATAGACGTGGTTAGGACCCTGTGTAAGAGGAGAAGACATGCAGCACACGTAGCAATGTGTTGCTGGTGGTAGAATCTGGCTCTGGATCATATTAACTCATCCACAGGTAGAACAACTTGTTCCATTTTGACCATCAAGGCATGCAGTGTATTTTTCCATTCCTATACTTAAATTATTTAGATTATTTTCAAAACTGCTATCTTGAGGAATGATGCTTTGGCTCTAGACCCCTGATAAAGGAAAACACTTGATCATGGGCTAACGTGCTGTCCTGAGTCAAGGCCTAGAAAGGGTGATTAACTAGTCTGTCATCTACAGTAATGTTACCGAATGGCTGATTGGTTGGAAACAAATATACCACTAAGACTGTGCAAAGGAGCTGCTCTGCAGTGGTTACCAAAATAAAAGGGACTGAAATCCCTATTACCAGGTGGTGTTGCCACATGTATTGCTGCAAAGGAAACCTTCCTTAAGAAGTATGCCTTACTAGTATGGATAGAGAACTTCTGATGTTAAGTATCTGTTAATAACAATAAAACATTCTGATTGTTGGACAAAAGGAAAAATGCAATTATAACCCAAGCTAAGAAATCTGTCTTCTGATTTTTTGTAACAGGGAGGTGGATGTAAATTTATTAGATACAACTGTTCCATTGAGTCACCCAGGAAAGGATGGAGCTTCATGCATCCAGGAAGACTTACTCATTTACACGAAGGACTTCCCATTTTAAATGGAACAAGATACATTGCAGTATCATTTATTGATCCCTAACTTTATTTTCCTGCCTCTTCAAAACCAGTGGTTGGTTCTTTGACATAAACTCTTATTTATAGTTTTCCTCCCAGAAGATGGTGATAAAAGAAACTTTAATTTACTTCCTCTAGACAGCAGATTTACTTTGAGCTAAAAGATTGAAAAAACAACTTTAAAAAATGTTGGACACTTCCAAATGTCTGCTCTGAGCCTTACGTCACAAAGTAAAAATGCCCTGTTTATTTTTGTACGCTGCTGTCTTGAAAGGTGGGGCGGGGAGGGAAAACAGAAATGCATTTTAAAATGAATATTTTTTTTCTGTTATGAAAAATTCCCAGATACAAAATTATCTCCAAATCTTCTCTTGTGGTTTTCATTCAGTAAAATGATGCAGATGAAGTTGTGTGTTGTGCATATTTTATAACTACCAATAGAAGAACCACATATAGAATTAGCATCAAGTGAATCCCATAGCCTAGCAGAATTGCACACAAATTTTGGCTTTAAGCGAAAGCATATTTTGTGTGCTGATGTGCACTTTGGCAACACCCCAGTAAAACTTTTTAAAATACTTAGTTTATATTAAATATCAACATCTATATCCTCCTAAAGAATATATGCATTGCAAAGTTTGAGGAATAGATTGAATACGTTAATTTTTTTTTTAAATGGCTTTATCAAGAACTGCAAGTATGTGTTTTAAAGAAGAACTTGTCCCATTAAGGTTACTTCTCTTTACCAAGTGTTCTTCAATTAAAATGAGCTATTTTTGCAATGTATAGTTGCACCAGGTTGATACTGGAAATTTAAATTCTGTTTTCAGAACACTGCTAAATTTTAATATCAGGATGTTTTGTAAACACAATTTTCTGTTTAAAATTACTTGAATTTTGTATCAGGAAAATGAAATTGGTGAAGTCTTTCTTTTAAACCTAAGAGGTTTGACTTACCATTTATTTTAAAGGAATCAGTTTTAAATATTCCTACTGTATCTACTGTTTGTAATTTAAAGAAACTTGAAGCAAACTCTAAACCAAGGAACCTAAGGTGCCGGAGTGCACAATGTGTTTAAAAACTTGTGAAAAATAAAAGGTAATTTTAAATTAATGTAACAGTTTTTGTTTGTCTTAGTGAAGATGGCAATATATCCCAAACTGTTATCTTTAAAATGTAGTGTATTTAACAATTTTAAAAGGAACTATTGTGTATCATGGTGAGCATGATCAACTTTATGTTGGCAAAAGTTTTTTTTTAAATATTCTGAGTAGTCACCACTAGCTGCTTGGTGCTCTTGAATAATGTCTGTCATTAATTGGCGTCTAAGTCATTATCAAGATGGGCAAAGTTTTAAGAGCTTCAGCAGCAGTGTGTGTGTCTGCTGCCTGTTGTAATAATCCCTTTTGGCAAGCAGGGTATTGTAGTGATCTAAGCAGCAACCTTTCCCCCACTATCCTGACTGATGCTGTGTTGAAGGAAATTCACCACCAGTACTGTATGTCGGTCGGAGTGGTTTTAAGACCAGTTTGTTTTCTCTGAGTTGTCGTTTCCTGTATTTATATTCTTAACTTTTCTCCATTTCAAGCAGATGCTTACAGATTTCAGAAATGCACCAGCACATTGAGTTTCCTGACATCAGTAAATTCCAATTTTGCAGATACCTTTGCCTGAGTGAGCTGCTTTGACTGGGTGTAGGCTGCACTTAAGCAAAGGATAAAATTCAGAAAATCATCAGGACTCTAGGGCATGAAAGCTGCCTTTGTTAATTACTTTTTTTCTGAGTGTTTGCCTATGGTCTGTTAGGATGGCATGGAAAACCGACTGGGTCAGTTTAGTATAGGTCAGTGTAATAAAGCTTTCTTTATAAAGAGATACTTGAAAACAGGACACGGGAGGAGATTTTTGGAGCTCATTCTGCATAATTTTTGCTTCTACAGTCTAGATTTTGTTTTTCACTGATTTACTCTGTTTTGATTTATTTGTTTTGAAGACTTGGATTATTAAACTTCTAGATTTTCATTCATTTACTCTTTCAGCTGTGAGCTCTTTCAACAAGCTAGACACATTTACCTCGCTCAGACTCGCATTACTAGAGTCCTTACCTTATTAATCAACCATAGAGGTTACTAAATCTCTTTCAGGCTGATAGGAATGTTACAACGTTGAGACAGAGCACTCATTCACTTCTTTGCATTGACCAAATATTGGAAGAATAGGCAAATTCCAATGGGCATTAAAATCTAAAATGCACAAATGTTTGGTCTTAACAATGAATTTAGATATGATTTGTTAGCTTTAATATACTGTTAGTAAACTAGCTCATTTGAATTGAATTTTCACGAGTAATACTGTAAAGCAAGCCTTGAGAGAGATGTCTGACCCTCTAATACCAGACTACAGAGCTGAGACACAAGACCAGTAACATGGAGAAAATGCAGCCTAACCTCTGGCAGTATTCATAAGACACTAGGAGTACAAGGACATAAAGGTGGACTCTTTAACTGCAGTAGATGAGACATTTGCAGATTATGTGATTGGTTTTGCTTATGTTCAAGCCTAGTTCTTCACTAATAAACCAGAAATGAATTCCAGATTCAGTGGTAGGGGTGATGGGAGAGAGGGCAATTTGTAATTATTTTTTAACAAAATGACAAGCCTGACTATTTTTAATCCACTTTATTGGTGTGGGAGCCACTGTGACCCTCCAGCACTACTTGTGGACAAAGTACTGGATAACACTCAGTATATCAGTTGACTTTTTTTTTTTTTTTGGGGGGGGGGGGGGGGGGGGTGTTACAAAACATATGTAGCCCTCATTAAAGCCACCATGCCACAAGCTATTGTAGCATAGGCTTGTCACTCACTTCATTTTCTTCTGTTGCTGCCAGGAATAAGAGCATAGTTAAACACAAAGAGAAATGATGGATTTTCAGTAATGTGGAAACGCTGACCTCATCTCAAGTGTGAATGTTTAGTGCCCCGCCCCCGGCGGTTTTAGTGTATGGATGGAATATATGTTAATCAAAAGCAGGGCATCCACATGAAAGCCTTCCTTTTGTCAGTCTTATAGAAATAGAGACAAAGAAATGAAAAGGATGCAGAAGTTTGGGAAGGACTCTGCCAAACCCCCTCCAAAACCACATTCAGATGGGAATTTATTTTCATCTGTGGAAGTAAAGTTTGTATGAATTCTTTTCAGCCACAGCAACATACTTATTTTATTCTTTTATCTTTATCTCTGATATGCTCCAGCCTGGATCCAGAGGCTGAGAAAGCAGGGGGTGGAGCCACTGGGTTGTGTCTTTCTGGGATGAAAGTAGTAGGCTGCTTGTTAGCCTTATAAATGGCATGAATGGATTCACTCCTCTCCGGAGCCCTGTGAGTGGTTAAACTATCAGCTGAATGACTTGAAGGTTTTTCGGGTGATGTAGCTGAGCTCCAGACAGCAACATTAGTCATTGCACTAGTTCTGAAATAATCATTTTCAGGCTGTCAGCAGTTGTCCTTAACTGGGGCAAAGAATATCTTGAGTCTGAGACTCAGGTGGTGTAAATTATTGTAGCTTCTCTGACTTTAATGGAGGTATGACATTTTACATCGGGTCCCCAGCCCATTGTCTTTGACTGCAACTCTTCTTTTGACTGATCCATTCATTAGCCTTAAGAAGCCGATGCGGTCAGATGTTCAGCTGTGTGTGTGTGTTCTCCATGTGTGCCATCCTAGCTCTACGTAGATAGCTGGCACGGTAGACCTTGAGCGAACCGCCCAATAAATCCACAGACTCGGTTTTCAGTGAAGGAACTTGGTCAGGTTTATTGCCAATGAGGTACGGTGCTAATGCCCCGGCTCAATGGCTACAGGTACACAAACGCATGTATGCCCGTGACAATGGACCGGCTCAGTGAATCCCCTAGGCCAGACAAAGACATTGCCTTTGAGATACATCCTTATCCACAGATACAAACAAGTTATGTATTACTCCTTTGATGTGGCTAACCACCACCCATTATGTTGTACCTGTTGGTTCGATCAAAACATCTCTATCCATCATGCTGTCATCCTGACCTTATCTTTAGGATGGGTCAGTATGTTTCTGTTACTTTTGAAGAATGTTCTGGTATCAGGGTGTTCTGGCACCGTCCTGGAATGTGTTTACATGTATGTTTTTGTGCATAGTACCTCTTAAGAATGCGTTTCTGCAATATCAGCCCTGTTCTTGCCAGATTCTGTGAGCACGGCCTGCCTCTTGCTCACAACTTAACCTTGCTTTATGGCAGCAAGTTTTGACCACTACTTTAGCTCAGGCCTCTCATACACGGCCTTATGTTTCAGGCTCTCTTCCTACTACAGCCCAAAGTATGGTGGTTGGTTTGTTCTGTTTTGTTGTTTTTTTCTTCCTGGAGGAGCTCTGCCAGGCAAAAGCTTTGCTGGGACCCCAGCCAAAACTGAAAGTGAGGGGATTCCATACTGCAGAATCTTCACTGTATCATAACGTTGAGAGTTAGAGTGCAGATCCAGTCCAATGGCACTATATCCTGGCTTCCTGGAAACTCATTTTATTTTATGCAGCAAGTCATGCTGTGTAATACTAAATTTTAATCAAAATCTTACGTGTTGCAAGCCAAATCTAGGATATGGCCAGAGGAGGGAAGAGTCCTGAAGCAGGAAGATTCCTTTCCTCTCAGGGGAGAAGTGACTAGTTGATTACAGTTAACATATAGCTTTAAGAGCAGAGGATCATGGACTGCTCTGTGTGCATTTAACTGCCTACGACACGTGGGCACACACACACGCAGCAGGAAGAGCTGTGAGCATGTGTACTTATTTATGAAAGAGATCCAGGAGTGGGGACAGGAGTGTCAGTGTTCAGGAAACCTCAAAGTTCACTTCAGACACTGGACTGTGCTCCTATGGCTACCTCTCCCTCAGACTCGTGGCAGATGTTGTGGGGTAGTTATAGGCCTCCTGAGATGATGCCAAGGTCTGTAAACATGATGGGAAAGAGAAGGTTGCCTTGTTTATCTCATAATATTTGTTGACAATTTGTTCTGGATGGGACTTCAAATATTTTTTGTTCTGCGAAGAGCTGTAAGTTGGCCGTGTTTTTACAATGATACTCCAAGGGATGGTTTTATGTAAGTAACTTGTGTGGTATAAAAAGTGCAGACAAAGTATATTCAGCTGAAGGTAGTTCACTGTATTAGTAGGAGATGGCAACATCCCAAAGACAGCTGCAGCCCAGGATTTCAATCCACAGTGGTTGCAATCTGTAGGCTAAATCCTCCGGTGGTGTAAATTGATGTAGCTCCATTGAAATTACCGGCTGACATTCTGGCCCTACATTAACAACACCAGTACTGATGCTCAAGAGCAATGTGGTGCCTGTTATGATACCAGTTTATTTAAAACAAAAAACAAGAAAGCCTTTACATGGTCCGAAACATGAATCTTATTCCCTATATATCTGCTCTCTTCACTGCATCCATGGTCTTGAAATTCCTCTGATTATTTTTAGATGATTTACTGTCTCTGGAGTAGGGCATAAAAGTATGATGTCACTCTACAGCAAGTTTATACAGAAACTGTTTATTTGGCCTGAAACCAGCATTCCTGCTATTTCGAAGACCTTTATCCAGCTGTGAGTAGGAGTTGGTCAAATACTAATGACTTTGGAGCAGCTTGTTCCCTGACCCTGAACAGGATGTGCATGTGAGACGGGAGTGAGAATGAGGAAGTGCAAGTAGACTACTCCCCCATGTGTAAGGGAATGATACTCTAGTTCCTTTAGGTGACAGATGCCCTTCAGCAATAGGCATGCAGAGAGGCTGTAAGAATCATCATGTAAAGCAGTTGATCTCAGCTAGTGATACATGCACGAGTACTACTTAGCTTTGGCTTTTCAAAGGAGTTAAGTAAATTGCGCGTCACCTAAATCTCAGTCTAAGATCTTGGGGGCTGATGTCCTAAACGTCATCCTCTTAAATTAATGATAGGCCTGTGGCACAGCCCATGTTTGTTCATGCTGTGATTCACAACAGAGGCTGAGCAGTTCCCAATGTCATTCTTGTGGATTTATTTCTGAGCAGCCTTGTGGTTCTGAGCACGTGCAA